CGTTGCCGTAATCGATGGAAAGTACCTGACCACACCATTTCTACCTGTCGATGGGTCCGGCTTCGCACAGGACATTCCCGTTCTAGGGGGCGTCGTGCGAGACGAGATTGCCATCTTTGACATTTTGCAAAACCAGATCTACTGGCCAGCCGTCACCTTCGAGATTTGGGTAGGCTTTTTGTGCCTGTATCAAGATTTCCTGCGAGTCAGTCCAGCATCGATACTAAACAGCTTGCCGCTTTGGAACCTCACGCCACAATCCAACTATACGCAGCTGTTTAACGCTACGTCCAAGATCTTGACAGACAATGTCTACGTCTGCACCGAACAAGCCAGGGCATACTCTGGAGTCAAGAACGGAGCTTTCAAGAGGGTTTATGCCTTCAACGCCTACCGAACTTATAGCGCGCCTACCATCACGGCGCCATACTGCAACGCGCCAGTCACGGCGGATCACCCTTTCGGCGATCCCAGCCTTGAGTACTACAAATGTCATGCTTCGACGCAGACGACAATGTTTGGAAACTATGCACGGATGGGTATGCCTGAAAGAGACGAGTTCGACCTGCCGTTCAGTCAGTTAATGGTGGACTACTGGGCATCCTTTGTGCGAAGTGGAGACCCGAATCCGGATCATGCCTGGCTCGCTGCCAGAGGTTTTGCGTCTACTCTGGCTGAAGTCAAAAGGGTGGGCGTGTGGTCGGAAGTGGACGCGAGCTCCCCGGAGTGGATGATTCTCGAATGGGGGGGACACATGGCACCCTTCGGCAAAGAAGCAGAGTGCAAGGCGCTGGGCCAGCCTCTTACCTACTGGGAAGACCCTGCGCCTGGACCCAATCCACCATCAGATATCTGTAGCTTCCTCGGCGGAGATCAGTAGAGTACATATCGGTAATTTGGACTCTGGGCAGGGCGTCCTTCGAGAGCTGCTACCAGTCAACACATTCTGGAATCGATGCTTATGAGGGTGTAGACTCGTAATTTCAAAGTTTAATCTTTCCATAAAGTTTCTTATCATGGGCTTACTCGATACTGTTGTTGCTCGAGCCTTACAACTCTGCAATGCAGCCTCTCCTTTGTGTATTCTTCGAGACACTTCAGTCCCCGACTCACTCAGTGTGTTAGTCATTACCCCCAGGCTTCTGCCCGTACACCACATAGCTTTGTGCTGTTAAAATCGCGTCGTAGCCTATTGTTTTGATGGTGACTCACAGAGGCCAGTATCCATGGACAGATCGGTCTTTCATGTCACGTCGTACATCGACGAGGAATAGTTCAACTTCCTGTTGCGTCCATCCTAGCGCTCGTGTAAAAAGCGCCATGCTGAGACCCGAGGCACCGTTTCCGAGATTCTCATATGTCCACATGCCTTTGTGCATGCGTGTTAGCCCCGATTTTCATAAGGGTTGTAGGAGCTGTGAAGCAACTTTAAATGGTAGACTGACCCAGCTCCTTGAACTTTGGGTCCTTAGGCCACGAATTTGAGGGCCACTTGTATATCGTCTCAACAACATTCGTGAATCCTGCGTCAGCTAGTTGTTGCTTTAAGAATAATGCGCTGTCTAAAGGACGGCCAAATTTGGCTGCCGCCTCGAGCATATATCTGCCCCATTGCGCCGCAGGGGACGTAGGAGAGACGGTGCCATCGTCACTCTTCAGGTCAAGAAGAATATCGGATATCTCAAGCCAGCCGCCGGGTTCCAGGTTACTTATGGGACGTTAGCACGTCACCAAGGCCAACTAGAGATGGGTGCAAGGTACTCGTAGCATTGCTGGATGTATGATGGCCAGTCCTTGATAGACGCAGTGAGCATACGAGAGTAAATGAAGTCGAAACCGGTTGAGAATGTCCATCGGTCTTCGATGTCATCGATGTAGAATGTAACGTTGGGAGGCACACTGGAAAGCTATCAGCACAGAAAGAAATGTTTGGAAGTGGGGGAGAAAATTTACAAGTCCGGTTGGATTGGGCTGAGATCGACGCCAACAACCTGGCTTGTTCAATCGTGTGAGCGGCAAGGTGATGCATGTCTCACGCACCTTCGTTTCTGGATGATCATCGGCTGCGCAACGGTCAGTGGAGGTGTGCAAGGGGGCGGCAGGATAATGCCAGCAAAGCCCAACTCTGCTCCAGTCCGTTGGGATCTTCTGGGGTTCTCATACCGAAATCCATGGCCCAGATTCCTGTGCCGGTGCCAGCATCAAGAGCCTGCACAATGGGCTTGTCCCGGCCTGCAGGGCATGTAAAAAGCTTGCCGTCGAAGGTCAATGTGTAGAGGTGATGTTGGAGGTCTGAGGAGGTCAGAGCTCTAGTGACGCAGCAATGAGGACGCCCCCGCACCCTCCATTGATACTCGGGATTGAAACTTACCAAGACGTTCATTTTCACCCTACGAGCACATCAGCATTGGGCCGTCTTTCGACGACAAGGGTCTTGGCATCGGGTGTCGTATCCTTACCTCATCATTTGGTAAGACATATTCTATAGACAGCTGTCAGTGCCCGCTAACTCTCCTCCCACATCGCACCACAGAAGAGACCATGGGGGGAAAGGTGAGGGAAGGACATTCTCACTTCCTTCACGGAATGCATGATATGTGCGTCCGTTCTCCTCCCGACTTCGCAGAATGCTCGACGTGATCGACGCAGATGAGCTCGCGAGGGACTGGATTGCAGAGTCTGCGTCGGAAAAGTCCGACTGGAAGGAGCCGGTCAGCAAAGATACATTGATGGGCTTTGTGGGATGACGACAAGCTCACATCGGCTTCAAGTGCTTGCACTGAGACGGGGTCGGCGCCCGTCATGTTTTGCAATTGCCCAGTGTCACTGGGGAATGGTCAAACGGGACTTGGGAGCAGTGACAAGCGTCTTCGGCAGAAACGGATGAGAATGGGGCCACCGACAGGTAAAATGCTACGACGCGATGTGAATAGGCAAATGTCAAGCTGTGAAGAAGGGGAGATACGAACGGCGCTTCTTGCCGAGGGGACAATCACATTGATCCCAATCGTATGCCTATGACCGATCTGGATCGGCAGGCTGAAACGTGAAAAAAGTCACTGTATCGGGGGCCGGGGGGGGGGGGTTGTGCAGTGATATGGATGGGAGCGAAATTTGAGACACGGCTGGATGAGTCGCAAACATGACAGGTCGCATCGAGATAGGCACGACAGCATGTTCTCAAGGTGAAGTGGAGGACGTCAGGCAAAGACTGAAGGGTGTTGTTGTCAGTGGGCTTCAGTTCGACCAATTGCCCGCCATGTCACATCGCATTACGCAGCGACTCCGCAGGGAGCCCCGGCCTGTTAAAGGGCTGTCGAGGTCCGCCAAAGAAACGCCCCGGGAGGCTAGCTCTGCGCCAAGGGTGCCACATGCGTGCCGCGTCCAGCGCCCTAGCCACTGGTATACGCCGCTGCTCTGGCCCGGATGCAGCAGCCCAGGCCCCGGAAGGCAAGCTTGTCGAAAATATTCAGGGAAGGAAGGACACTATATCGTTCGCTGCGTCCCACGCCACACGCAACGGGCGGCTAACGAGATGGGGGCTAGCATCACATAACTAGTCCGTCGGGAACTGCGGGAGGGCTCCATTGACCCCATGCACTCCAATACGGCTACAGTCCGCTGGTCTCAACCCCTGTCAGATGCGCTGCTCATAAGCGTTTATCTCGGATTCAATCAACATGTTCGTCGTTCACCGGTTCTTGAAAGAGCGACAAACCTGCTTCCCCGTGCCATGTCGCCATGGCCCGACATTCACCCATCATGTACATGTACGCTCGGTGCAATACAACCCTCTGTGCCTTGGGAGCCCTTGTCCATCTCCCGTCTTGTCGTTCAAGAAGCACCTGGTCTCCTTCTCTCCCACCCCCCACAACAGCGAACCCCTCTTCCTTCACCATTTGATTTGAGCCGGCCCATTAGGTCCATTGGAGTTGGCCAAACCCTGAAGCCTCCAAAGAGGAAAGAAGAGGTAAGAGCGTCATGGCTATCCCCACGACAGCCGTTCTCGCGGGTTCTACGTTGCTTTTCGCCTTGTGGACCGCTGTCTCTGTGTTTCGGCAGTACTTGCGCCTTCGTCACATCCGAGGACCCCGTCTGGCCGGGTTCTCGCAGTGGTGGTTGGTTCGACGTGTTGGCGGCGGCCGCACGCACCTCGATCTCTACGAGGTCTGTGAAAAATATGGTCAGTCTCGCGCACCAACAGCTCCTATTCCCCGCAACCGCTGTCTCAAATTCTCGATCCCTCATCCTGCTGTTCTCTTCCCAATCATGCTGTACATATGCACGATCAAGCAATCTGGTCACGCTTGGCAGCTGCGGCCCAGTCTTGCAGAGAATCAGTCAATGGGTACTGACTGTTAGCAGGTGATATTGCTCGCGTCGGCCCCAATGATCTTATCACCAGTGACCCCGATCTTATGAAGCGGATGCTTAATGTTCGCACGACATATAAGCGATCTGAATGGTACGATGGCATGCGACTCGACCCTGCCAAGGATAATGTTCTCTCCATGCGTAATGACGAGCTGCATGGCAAGCTACGGTCCAAAATGGCCGCCGGGGTGAGTGTTTCTATTTTCTTTTCCACAATCCTTTTCTTTCTGCCAGTCAACTTGATTGCCATGTGTTTTTTTTTCCGCTAGCTATTGAAATTGGCCTCAATCAAAAACATCTCTCGGCCCTCCTTCATATCCTAACAAGACACTCGCAGTATTCTGGGAAGGAGGTCGATAATCTCGAGGCCAAGATCGACACCAATGTCCTCGCGCTACTCAACCTCCTTGAAACAAAATACATTGACCTGAACAAGGCCTTTGATTTTGGCCGCAAAGCCCAGTACTTCACGCTCGATGTCATTTCGGACCTCGCCTTTGGCACGCCCTTTGGCGATGTTGCCTCCGACTCGGACGTCTACGAATACATTCAGACAATGGAGGACAACATGCCGACGATCATCGTCACATCGTCATTTCCCTGGCTTGTTGCCATGATACAGCATCCGCTCTTCAAGTTCCTCCATCCCTCCGAGAAGGATCTCATTGGCCTCGGGCGCACCATGGCCATCGCGAAGGAGGTAGCAGCCGAGAGATTTGGCCCCGACCGGAAGGTTCGGCGCGACATGCTGGGCTCATTCGTTGCTAAAGGACTCACGCAGTCAGAGGTCGAGTCAGAGATTCTCATGCAGATCCTCGCGGGGTCGGACACCACGGCCACGGCCATCCGTGCGACCCTCTTGCACATCATTACCGCGCCACGCGTCGTTGCCCGTCTGTTAGAGGAAATTAGCGCTGCGCGTCCGAGCAAGCCTATCATAACAGATGCAGAGGCAAGAGCGATGCCGTACCTTCAGGCTGTCATCAAAGAGGGACTGCGGATCTTCCCACCTGTCGTAGGCCTCATGTCGAAGGAGGTTCCAGCCGGCGGAGACACGTTCAAGGGGGTGTTCCTACCCGAGGGCACGAAGATCGGATACTGTGCCTGGGGCATCTTTCGCCGCGAGGACGTTTGGGGGAAGGATTCGCATGAATTCCGACCAGAGAGGTGGTTGGAAGCAGACCAGGAGACACTCCAGAACATGGAAGGCACTCTTGATTTGGTGTTCGGGTATGGCCGCTGGCAATGTCTTGGGCGAAACGTGGCGTTGATGGAGCTGAACAAGGTGTTTGTCGAAGTGAGCTCTCCACCGTCTGTCTCTTGGGCCCGACACTAACCACCACGCAGCTTGTGAGGCGTTACGATCTGTCGCTCGTGGATCCAACCAAGCCTTGGCATTCGATCAATGCTGGCGTCTTTCTCCAGTCCGACTATTGGATCCGTGGCTACAGGCGAGATTTCCAAGGTCTAAAGGCCTGATACTTGTAACATGCGGATGAAAGTACGACGCTGGAATACAGATTCTTGTGCACATTGCGCCCAGGTCGCCGAACTCTGTCTAGAATTCTATCCCCATAACTCGTTCTTCGCATTTTGAAACGTTTGGAACGTGTCGGCTGAGAGCTTGAGCTGACGTCGCCGGAAATCTTCCTCTGGGCGATGCTATAGTCACGTATGACCAGCATCGACTGTGACGAAAGTGACATAGAAATATGATAAAGGGATCACTAATTGTCATCGAGGTGTGCATGGGGCCAGGTTCGGAAACAGTCCCAGCGACTGAAATCGAACTTTCTCCCGCATTAGTGCGGCCGCAGTTCGGTACTTTGGCTGGTCGACAGGGCAGCTTGGTTAAGGCCCTGCCTAAACTCAATCAAAAATTTGCATCAGCCTGTGGTAGCAGGTATCACGCAACAGGGGAGAAGCCGACACGACTCATGCGGCATACCCGTGCAAACCAGGAGTTGACCGACTTTGCTACAAGTACAGGCCCGAGCAAAAATAGGGTAAAATCAGGCATTGCCAGTTGCCTATTGCGATACCTTCTACCTGCTGTCCCTCACAAGCTGCAAGCATGTTTGCAGGCGCTTTCAAGTGATGTACAACCATAAACCTTCTCCGTCGTCCATTCATTTAGACATCTAGCTCCATCTGGGTATGAAAAAAATCGAGACCGCCAATGCGGCCATGTGGGTATAAGAATCCAAGGGGTTCAGGGGAAGGCAAAGTGACGGCGTCGATAAGGAAAGATTCGGGTGAAGTGAGTGTGAGTTTTTCGATAGGGCTCTTCCTAAGGCCCTGAACGTAGTTGTGCTGCCCATGCCAGGTTTGACTACAGTCAGTAATATCCGGACTGCGGGCCATCGCCGGCCGGACTGTGCAATGGGTACTGTCCAGCGAAATCCATAATGCCATCTTGCATCTCAATATCGGTTGCTGGTTCGGGGGTACCGCCGGTGATGCTCCGTAGGCTTTGCAGATCGTCCGCTATGATGCCGTTCTGCAAAGCGCCGTTCGGTTGGACGTATTGCCTGTTGTCGTGATACATCGGAGACGGCGACGTTTCTGGTATGCTGCTGAAGAAATGCCCAAGTTGGCTGCTGCTGCGTTGCTGCTGCTGCTGTTGCTGCTGCTGCTGCTGCTGCTGCTGCTGCTGTTGTTGTTGTTGTTGTTGTTGTTGCTGTGGCAGGTGATGCTGGCTGCTCATGGTCGTAGGCCTTGTTTGGTGAAGTTGTGGTGGGCGCATGGATCGCTGGCGACTGGGAACATAGACCTTTCGTTGCGAGGCTATGTAATGGGCCAAGGCTGGATTTGTGCCCCGCGATATACGGAACGAGAAGGGATCTTCCTGCGGCACGGCAGGGATGCTGGGCTGCCGTGACTTGAGCTTATGGCCAGGGATGTTCTGGGACAAGTATCGGACACCGGGGTCACAAAATCGTCCCTAAACTTGCGATGCGTGCTTGGATCTGTGCCAAGGATGTAGGCGTATTGGATCAGGAGCTTGATGTCGCCAATGTGTCGGCTCTCGAGCCTCTTGCGTAGGATGCCTGAGGTCTGAGGATTCCAAACCAGTTTGCTCTGCGCGCCTTCATTCCAAGCCGCCGAATCATTCCACATGGGCGCGACCTGTGCCTGTCGAAGTAGATTTCGTATCCTGGCCGAGTACGTCCACTCACCGCTGTTGGATCCTTCGTCAAAATGTTTGACAACGTGGCTGACGTAGTCCTTGAAAACAGCTGCGGCATCATCGTCGTTCGGTGCCTCGTACACTTGTGGGCAATTTTCGAAACCACAGGCGAAGACAACCTGCTGGCACAAGTTCACCTTGGCCTCGTCAAGCGACATACGAGACCCTCCATGCGCCGTCTTCAAGTGCGTCTTGTAGGCAGCCTGCCAATCAAAGACCATCTGGCATCCTCGGTGACGGCAGAACCATTGGGCATTAACATTGTGAAAGTCCTCGATGTGACGCTTGAGATCGTTCTTGCGGGTACAGGTCTTGGTGATATCCTCCTCCTTGCAGAAGCCACACATGAAGGCACCCTTTTGCTTCGAAGAGGTTGAGGTTGAACTGGTCGGAATGCCTTCGTTTGCTGGCGTCGCTTGAGGGGTGCTGCCATCAGAGGTCCATTGCTGCATAGCATCGTGATGATCCTGCTTAGTCTGGGCAACGTTTTGCGAGTGCGTCTGGGCCTGAGCTGCAGCAGTTGCACTGGTGGTGTTGCTAGCAGTGCGGCGGGCGAAGAACTTGGCGCCCTTGGACACATTGGACCGTATGCTGCCGGCGATTGACGATGTGTCCGACGAAAACGTTCTTACGCTTTGTGTATCCCAGACGCTCGAAGCGTCATCCGACAACACGGAGGAGGGAGCAACGCTTGGTGCGCTCGAAATGATGGAGGCTCCATCGGATTCTGAGACGAGTCAATGCTGGTGACGAGCGGAACGGGGGGCCCAGTTTGGTTGGAGGCGTATCGACTTACGAGGACCAACCTCATCCCGAATGAGTCTACTCAATTCGCGATGCCCATATCGACCTAGCAGATGCTGGATTAATTGACGATCGAGGTCCTCTTGATGCGGCGCCGGCGGCGGTTGTGAGGAGCCGTCCCCAGGCCAAGGATTCGCGGACATGTCCCCGGGCATGTGCCGACGGGCGACAGTAGAGAGAAACGGGCGTCAACCAGCGGGCGTAGGTCGGTAAGAAAGAGTGGATGCAGGCCCGACTGGATGCAGCGGTCAAAGTATTGGGGTGACGAAAACTCGTCTCACAATAACGACGACAACGACAACGTGGAGAGGGCTCGAAGCGAGAAAAACGTTCGTTGTACGTCGTCTGCGTAGGTACAACGGCCGGCGAAGAGGTCGATGGGCGAAAGAATGGAAAAAGAGGGAAATTCTGGGCGAGAGCGGACAATCACAGCGTATCTGAGCACTTGGAGACCTACCCAGCAGAAGCATGGAGAGCACGGGGAGACCAAACCCAGAAAAGATGGTGGGTGGGCAGAGTTAGCTGGGGTCTTGGGTCGGTCTTGGGTCTTGCTTCTTGCTTCTTGGGGGGGCCCTTCTCCTCGTCTGGGTGTTGCCGGTCGATTTCAGGTGGGTCTGAGCTTGACCCGGAGCCTGGAGCACCAGGATCTCAAGATTGGGGGCAAAGCAAGGGTAAGGGGGACGAGGCCGGGAAAGGCAAAGCGCTGCTGGATGATAACGGACGAGGATCAGAGAGATACAGACTAACACATGCCAAACCTTGTTATCTCTTGGCCAGTTTCTGGTCCCTCGTACCTATGAGCTCTGAACGGTGGCTGTATCTGCGTCGGCGGACCTGCATCCAGGGCCGAAAAGAGAGGTGATCTTCGCTGTCAATTATTCCGACAAGCAGCTGGGGGGTTGACGGTCGCCCTGGAGTTGATTCTGGCATGAGTCGTCGAAAGTTTTCGGAGTTGTACGCCACCGACACTTGGGCCCAGCGCTGTGGGAAGGCCTGGTGCGCTGCATGTGAATCGATTACGGCGGCCTTACCTCCCCGGCACATGGAGTGTACGATCACTGACGAGTCGTGCATCATTAGGTGTCTGTAGTTGTAATGTCTGGTGAGGCGGGACACAAGGAAAATACACCGCCGCCAGGAGTCGCGCATCCGTCATCAACATTTTTCTAGGGCAGTCGCACAAACCGCGTTTCGCGAACCAGGTGGGTGATTGCCCGCCCTTCGGACCAGAGACGGTGGGCTCCTGGAGGGCCGACTGCACGACTTGACCAACTGGACTGCCTGTAATGTAACTACCTACTAGCATCCCCAAGTTTGTCAACCCCTGCTGTAATGATAATCAAGCAAGTGACAGGGGTTGGCTAGTCCTCGTTCACCTCTCCAATTGCGTGCGAGGCAGCCATCCATGTCAGACGTCCAGGGAGACCAAGGGGTGCGTCAACGTTCATTCGTTTGGTCGTCTACAGTTGGTTGGCTGCTGGATAACCCGTGCTGATTGTTGTGACCCTCGTTGATTCGATCTTATTGATCGTCTCACGCAGCGAAGGATCGGTGAAGTCATGATCGAACGCCGTACGACACCAGCTTCGTCGAATTGTATCAAAAAGGTGTATAAAAGAGGGTGAGGCAGTCGATCTCTCTGAGGGGGGGAACATATCGAATTGATTGATCTCGTCAGTTGCCGTCGGTCATGGCCTCCCAACAGCGAAACAGACCAGATGAACCTAGCCCCCTGTCGCAGACCATGAAGCAGGATCCCACTTTACGAGGCTTCTTTCATGTCGGTCTCGACGGCGTCGTTCGATCAATGTCTGGTAGCTACACGGTTCTCGATGCTCGCGGACTCAGTGCTGTGCAAATTGCCAACATCATCGCGCACTTTCCCCTGACAGAGGAAGAGAGGGATAAATACCACGGCATGGATGGTTCCAACATCACAAATCATGACGAGCTGTACCATCCGAGGCCGGGGATCCTGCCGAAGAAACCAACAGAAGCGGAGCGAGACGAGAGGCGTCAGATCGTCGAGGCATATCAAAAGGAGAGGGAAGGATCAGGAAGTTCAGTGACTTGTAGGCTACCAGAAGCGGATGGTGTGTCGACTGAGGATCGCCTGGCCCAGGCACGGACCGAAATCGAGGAGCGCAATGCACTGCTGGAGGAGAGGGACCCGACCTTGACTTGTTGCAAGCCATCACCGTTTGAAAATAGTTAGACGCCTTATTTCACAATCCTCAAGGGTGGCCACTGCGCGACACGGTATGGTCGCTGCAGCCCGAATGCCGAATTCTAAAGTTAGCAGTCCTATTACAAGGCAACATACGGTATATGTCAGGGCAGGGGCAGCAGAAATACTTGCACTCCTCCACCAATACGACCGTGGCCAGGCTACAGGAGTGTTTTGGGCCTGGCTGT